CTTTCTGACCATTCTAAATATTTTGGTTCAAGTATTAATCTTACTGGGAAAGCAAGATGGTGAAGTGTCAAAAGCCTCACACATTCTACACTTTTTAGACCCAAACCCTTTACACTTAATAGGTAGTCTCTGCACAATAAATATGATACAAGGTTGTTAGGCTTACTGTCATTGCAAAACTTTTTATGCACTGGCATCAGAAGCCATTTGATACACTTACTTGACCCTATCTGGTGGGACATCCCGCAGCCATTCCAGATCAATGCTTCCATGATCTGTGACAAGCCTGTTTAGGAAGTCCTGCATGATTCGATATCATTAGCTGACAGTGATGATTAGTGGCTGAGAGACTAAAATCCACAATTATGCTAGAATTAGAACATATACTTGGATTCTCCGAGCTAACATATTGTTCATTCCCCTTTCTTTGATGGTCTCAGCGATGTCCTCAACTTCTGCACATCTCACCGCTTCCCAGTCCACTGAGTCCATTGTATTGGCTGTCCTCTCTCTCTTTTCACCATTAGAGAGTGCCTGTATTCTTAAACTATCCCAATCAATGGCATCCTTTTTCTCTTTTCCATTTCTTCCCCTTTTGGCATTGGATATACTAGGGCTCACCTCATCAATTTTCTCCACAATTGTATTGCAGTCATTCAGATTCAAATGAACAGCCTTCTGATTTCTAGTTATTTGGGTTTTTCCTGAGACATCCAAAATACATTCTGAAGAACTTAGAGGATTTGAAACTTGCCCAACTCTGCAGTTATTCTCTTGCTTTTGAACTTCTGACACAAGTTCAGTCTCTTGATCTTCAATTGGCCTTTGATGGTTGTTAGGAGAGTTGGAGTCAGAATTTTCAATTGAAAACTTCTGTAATTCTTCGAAACTAATAGCAATTGTATTCTGACATGGAACTCCTGCTGAAGATTCTGCTGACCCAATTTGTTCGGTTACAAAAAGCTCATTTTCTTTGTAGGCATCACAGAATCTGTTATCTTCTGACAGATCAAAGTTCCTGAGCTCTCCAAATCCTGAATTCACGCCTATGTGCAGGCTCAAATTAGTATGCAGATGGATATCTTTTAAACAATTTATGATAATTGATTTCTTACTGCAAGAGTTACAGGCCATACCTTCTGATTTGGTTGGCATGCCGAGACTTGATGACCTCTTTCTGCTTCCTTCATTATAAACTCCATGCAACATTGTTGTTCCTGCCATCTGTAACAGTTTTACAAAAGAGCCACAAGTACCATCAGCTGGTTCAGCTTCGGAGGAACTTTGTGAGTATGACTCAGCCTTGTTTATAGTCTCCACAGAGCTGTGAGAGGAAATTACAGAATTCTGAGAAGAAATTACATCAAGTTCTCTGCTATCTCCATTAAAGCTTGCCAGTCTTTGATCATCCTGAGATTTTAAGCTGCTAATGTCTGGTTCATTATACAGTTTTGGACTACATTCTGAAGAATCTGAAGAGATGGATCTTAAAATTTTTGTTGCTTTGGTGGTGCCTTCAGATGTATCTCCAGAGGAATCCCTGGTAATGGTTACTTCTTCATTGCACTCCTTGTCACATAGAGTGACGGAATCCTGGAGGCAAGCAAGTTGACTTGAAACCTTTTTGTGCCATTTAATTGTATCATCTGGATCTATTATTACTTGTCCCTCAGTTGTCTGTTGTTCACATGGTTGTGTATGATAGTGATTGCTCTTCGATTTGAGGGGGAATCTAGCAGCCATTGAGATGAAGGCAGAACTGCAGCAATGAACACAAACTAAAGTTGTTTTTGCAGGCACTCAAGCTACTACGATCTTTTGTGAGGAGGGTGGAAATTTAGAAATCAACTCACCTAGAAAGGTGATCAGACACATTCTGTGTAAGGAAGACTCCAACTACAGAGTCTACTACCGATCCCTTCCATGGGGTGAAGCGTCTGTCTCCTGTGGAAGAAAAAAATAACACACTCCTATTACATATTTGAGATGGCAAACACATTTTTTCTGCCTGAATCATGTAACCGTGTAGGAAGAGGATACTTTTTTGGAGTATCCGACACCAACTTTTGCTATGTGAGATGCATTGCACTTCAACCTTTCATGGAAGGTTCACATACACTGTTCCATCTGCCTAGAGTTTCCTTCAGTCAGTTATTTCTCCAACATATTTACAGTCATGCCATTCCATTAAACTATTAGAAATTTTTAGGCAGTCGATTTGGTATTTTCTGAAATGCTTGACTTTCTTGTGTCCATCATTTACGGTTAAAAGATTTCTTAATTTCTTTTGCCAAAATGATATTCTTGAAAAGCAGAAATAGAATGAAAATGTTTCATACCAAGAAAGCAATTTACTAATTGATTTCTCTTTTTGGTTGGCGAGCACTGATTTTTGTTCTTCTATATACAGGTATAATGTAAATTGTAATAGACTTCTTTGCTGTGTTCTGTCATGTAAATTTGAGCTATATGACATGCAATGGCCAGAATCTTTTGGCTTCTTGCTCCAGAGCACGTGCTACAAGGTTCGAGTTCCATATTTAAGGAGGATGTACCAACAAGTCCTGAGTTAGATACTATCTTCTTTTAAGACAGCACTGAGATTTTCTTAGTCCCATGTAGATCAACTTCTTAATAACGTCTATGCACATTAAGAGATGTATACTACTGCAGAATTAAATTATGAGCCTACATACCCTGGACTAGATGCATCCTGGCAATAAATGAGTCTGCTCTTCCACGGAATACTGCCCGTTCACCTGCCCACCATTGTGCCTTCTGCTGATCTGTTCCATCAATGCCGTCATTGTTTATGTCTTCCAGCAAAAGCTTCCACACTCTATTTGTCTCCTCATCAAGGTCAACTTTAGGCCGTGGCCGGCGCTTCCTAATTTGAGAAGACAAACCATCATAAGGTACAACAGATCCATTACTTTGATAAAGAACAATAGAATTCTGCCATGGACAGTCCACTTGGTATGTGACTAGTGCGTTCTGTTCTTGGTTGAACAATCCATTGTGTTCCTTTTGTATATCAAGGTAGTTAAACTGCTCAATGATGGCATCAATTGTTGAAGATTTATTTTTCCACAATTTAGTTGAAGACCCTGCATCATATGCACCAAGTAAGAAAATTTTCTGATAATTTCATTGTTACTGGTAATTAGATATAAAAGAGTAATATATACATACCCATTGACATTTTTGCAAATTTCTGATGATCATAGGTATTTGAAAAGGAAGAATTTGAAGCAACAGAGTTTCTCTTTGACCGCTTCTTTGTCGTCATTCTTGGCCGATTGTCAGCAACCAGAGCATCCATGCATGTGTGTGGTCCTTTTAAAACTCCAGAACTCAGCATTCCTCTGCTGGAAGTAGGAAACTGCCCCCAAATTTCATGCAGAGAAGCAAAATCTCGAACCCGAATGGGGCCTTTAGATCTTTTCTTCGTCAATCTTTCTGCACTTCTCAAGATTGGAAGGCAAACGAAAGGGTTCTGTTCATGTCGGGTACCATCAGCTGCTGCTGCTGCCGTTGGGATACTATTAGCATCAGAATGAGCAGCAGACATCATGAAATCAGTTCCTGATGTGAAATTGTATATCTGATAATCATTGGAAGGGCGTAGACTATCCCGACCATCATTGTCATAGGTACTGGATTTTTGCAGAATGCTTGAAGTTGCTGATTTATGCGAATTTTCTGTCCTCTTTTTCTTGAAAATTGTTGGAAACTGCATGCTTGGAGTTCCTTGACAGTTGTAGCCATATGGTGGAAAGAGCTCTTGGCATGCCTGCAATAAATTGTAATGGGCCCTGGTAGCATTTATCCTGCGAGATTCTGACTCGTCACTTCTAAAAGATCGCTGGCTCTTTGATTTCCTTGATTGTGTTTCTTGGGTCAAGCATGCACTGCTGCTGCAGCTGGAAGTACTCCCTGTCACACATCTAGCGTCAGATGACAATGTCCCAAAATTGCTTGCCTCTTTGTCATGAGTTACATCTGAGAAAACTATTTGACATTTCCCTCTCGTACATCCATTTTGATTGCTTGTGCAATAAGTTGTATCTCCAGAGGGTTGACTTTCGTTGACAAAAAGGTAGCCTTGGAATGCACGATCTATGGTTTGTGTGAGGTCATAAGCAACGCCTACTTCAGTCTTTTCAACTGTCACTTCCATTCCCTGTCCAAGCTTCATGGTTGATCTTGATTGATCCTCTGGAATGGAAGCCTGTGAATGTGACTTTGCATCAGCATCTAAAGGGGGCTGTGCCACTTCCATTTCCTGTCCAAGCTTCATGGTTGATCTTGATTGATCCTCTGGAATCGAAGCCTGTGAATGTGACTTAGCATCAACGTCTAAAGGGGGCTGTGTGGACCTTTCATCTGGACCTCGGCCTTCAGAGTTGAAATTTAGTGACTTCTTGCAGGAGCTTCGTGTTACTCGGACTGGCATTGTGTCATTTCTGGTAGTACACCCCACTTCCAAGGGAGTGGTGGATTGTTCAACCCCTTTTCTTCTGACATACTTCCTCTTACTTTTTGGCACATTCTCCGAACTAGAAGGCTTTGCTTCTAAATCTGTTCCATCGGTTTTGCCTTCCAAAGGAGTATCCACAGGCTTGCCGACTGCACTTCTCCTAACATATTTCCTCTTGGGTGTTGCTTCTAGATCTGTTCCATTGGTTTTGCCTTCCAAAGGACTATCCACTGGTTTGCCGACTGTACTTTTCCTAACATATTTCCTCTTGGGTTTTGCAATTTCCTGATGGCCAGTAGGCTTTGGTGTTCCCCGATTGCGATTGCGCTTAGTATTAGGTTGACCTTCAACAACCACTTTAGGTCTGTGCTTTCTCCTCCTTGGCTTCTGCAGTGGTGTCTTGGTCAGATCAGTCTGCTGTTCACTGCCTACTTCAGGCTTGAAATTCTCCCCTATTACAGTGGAGATGGTAGCCCAAGATTGATTCTCAACCAGCACTGACTGATTGTTTTGGAGCTCATGCAATTCAGGTGTCATCATAACTTCATTCTGCATTCTTGTTTCTTTTGCTGCTGCTGCAGAGTTGGACACTTTCCGTCCATCTGTTCTCCTCGTCGGATCAGGTGTGACAGGCTCAAATTGGGATGAGACAAGTGTAGTTGATGCATCAGCAATTGTTCTTGGTGGAGAATTCAGATCAAAGCAGAGCCTGGAAGAAATTACATTTTCACCTGCAAAGGAAAATTCATTAACAGGATTGAGGTAAGCATTGCCAGGATTATTCTTGGAGTTTATTTATGTTCCATCATGATAGGCAGAATCCTGCTTTCTTGATGCGAAGCATGTAAACAGACAGAATAAAGAACAATGTTTGGTGCGTGTACATATAGAAACTGAGGTTGGCGGGATGCAACAAGGGCTTTGCAATGATAAGCGTGCATAAGATAAACTCTAGCACAAAGCTATGTAAGGTATGTGGCTTTCTTCGCCAAGTCTAGTTTCACCACTCTGGCTATTTAGTTATATTACTCATTTGTAGGAAATATTTACGGGATTTATATTTTCTTAATACAGATATGAGCTGGGAGACATTAACAACGTAGCTTTTTTAGTATTTGTGTGAACAAATAGTCAATTCTGTAGCAAGTTACCTCCTCAAAGCATACATTGACCCACCATTCTCTTATTGGTTTGAAATCCCTTGGCAACTTTCTGCCATGATTGACAGGGTAACTTTTTTATGATAGAAGTAATAGGTAGCAATAAATAAGGCAACTAGACTCACAATGGGGTGTCTTAGGATTATTCTGAGAACTCGAATCCAGGCCTTGGTTTTCCAGTGAAGAACTCGTGGATATTTCTGGCAGCTGGGTAAACTGAATGCAACATGACATGTTTTCAGCATTCAAACCAGTAATTTTACTCGCTTCCTCAGCAGCTTTGGCAGTGCCCGCAGCATCTGCGAGTGCCATCAATTCTTGAAAAGAAACGTTGCCCCACTTGTCTGTCTCCAAGGACAACTCCTGAAAAAATTTGAGTGGGACTTCATGAAGCCGTGATTCCGCTGCCGATGTTGCATCCAAACCATCGGAGTTTCTGGCTGCTGCCACATAATTGTTTTCTCCACAACATGTGGCTACACTATGGACTTTGATTTCTTGCTGAAATTTGATCGATTTTCCTGCCTTTCTACATCCATCTGATGCATTTCCCTCACATGGCAGGGATTGTTGGGACCAATTTGCTTGCAATGGTTGTCGTTCTTGCGTCTCTGTGTAGATTGGCTGAGCTTCCAAACCAGGCTTCGCAGGGGTGGAAGGAATCCAAGAATTCTCAATTTGAGGGCCTTTGACAATCACAGTAGAGTTCTCTACCGTTGCTTCCATTCTGCAAGAGCAAAGCCCGGTAATTTCTTAATTTGTCAACACTTTGTTGTCAGTAAATTCTATTTCACTCACTTTGTTTGCAGAAAATGCTAAATAAATAACTTGCGCGTAGGTTTGCAGAAGTTAGGTGGTCTTTCACCACGCTTAAAATGTCTTCCTGCTAAAATATTTCAAACCCCATAGGAAAAATGTAAAACAAAAGGTAAAAAAAGTTTCTGAGAAGCAGAAATTAACATGCAGACCATGTTTTTACAGATACTTCCATATCTTACACAACAGCATCCTTTAAATTGTGAAACTCTGGAATTAACCCAAAAATGTGATCTTTTTTTTTTTTCTCTCAATGTGGAGAAATTTGAACATGTAATTAATGTAATTCTGATAAAAAATTTTAAAATCAATTGACCATAGCAGATCAGAGTGAGAATTAGCTCAGATGAGTGAAATGTTTTAACCAAAGCAGCAAAAGCAATTTACTTGGAAGAATGCCACTTTGAAATGCCATTTTCACCTCAGCATACGGTAAAAGTCACATAACTGAAGAAAGTGGAAGAAATACAATCAACTCTTGGAAGTAGACTAACCAGAGACCTTAGTCGTCGCCGGAGATCTCACACAGGGTAGCGGACGGCGGAAGGAAACGGTGAAGCATATAGAGAGAGTGCTTGTTTTTTAGAGACGAAAAATTCCAAACACATGAGCCAGAGAGCTTTTATAAATAGACTGGACTGAGCCCAGCTGAATTGCTTACTTCTTTTGCCGGTAAAACACGTATAATTCATTAAAAACTTGAGATTTCCATTATGTTATTAATAAATTATCCCATAAATGACAAGTCGGATGCTCTAACTAATTCCCTCTTCAATTTGCATAAAAGAAGTCATTAACTGCACATAGGAGGCTATAATGGTAAATTGACTTCCTCCAACAGTGGAACCGGCGGGTGAAGCGGCTTCACCTGGCCTAAACACGTGATTAAACTAATAAAACAGAGTTTCCCCACCTAAGCTTTGAAGATTATAAACAAATTTAAAAAAAAAAAAACAGAAAAGAAAAAAAGAAAACGCCAGCGTTCGAGAGGGGGCGTTATCGACGCCGTTTATGTATTTTACATTAGGTTGATATCACCCGCCCTATTCTCGCGGTGCTGTTAAGTGACGCTGTTAGTGGTCCCTTTGTTAGTGGCGTACTCCTGCACGTTTTCCCACACACAGTTTGGGATGCACACTGATTTTTTACTGCGTTCGGTGCTGTGAATTGATGAGCCACGTCAGACGGTGCTGGGCTTTGATTACGTACGCGTAACCGGTATTGGGGTACGGGGGTTTATCAGTAGTCTTTAGTTGATCGTTTGGGATGACTTGATGGATTGGAGCGAGTTAGCTGTTTCATGGGACTTCTATTCAAAAATCGGTTAGTCATCGAATATGGAGGGAAACAGGATCTTTGCGCTCAACTACGGCTATGGTGGTATTCTGTGGGTCCTATGTCGCTCGATTCATATTTTATGATTCGTCGTGTTAAATTATTCAATTAGTATTATCATCGTTGTTGTTACTGTTATGGCAACTATTTCATTTTGACGGGAACAAACATATGAATTGCATGTGATTAATGCAACTAAACAAATAGTAAAAAATAAAATAAAATCAAATTTAGAGTTCATTTGAATTGTTACTTTTTAGAGTTTTTATATAAAAAATATATATTATAGAAATTATTTGATATATGTGAGATAAAAATGTGATCGAAAAATGAGTTTATAAAAAATATAAAAAATTTTTACATAAAACTTGCATTTCAAACAACCCTTTTTTTCTTTTTTTTAGTATCAATAGAAAGATTCAAATTCAAAACTTTTTACTTACACTCATTTTCTACCATCTAACATATCTTTTCGTTTATATTTCAAACAAGACCTTGATTTATTTTTTTTTTAATCTTTGCATTTTCTCGATATATCTTCTCCGATTTCTTTGTTGGATAAATAAATCATAAACACTTGTTGTACAAATTCATTCCTATGAGCAATTAGGAAGATTTTTTTTGTATAGAGTGGAAGATTATTATAATGAAAAGCTTTGAAAAAAAATTGAGGACTGCAAAAATTAGAGAAATTGGATAATATTTAAAAATGGCAGTCTAAAGATCTCGTGCGGCATTTTGGAGAATCTTCATGATTAAGGTTTTGTTTGCCAATTTGGGAAATTGGTCAAAAAAATTTGAAAAAGTAGAAGAAAAAGAGAAAAATGGATTTATTTTTTATAATTGTTTGGTTTTGAGGACACATGCAATTTGTGTGACCTTGAGTTTCCTGTCAAGTTACTACTATCAAATGTTTTACATTGATCATATATTTAGATTATAGAATAAATCATATATGGTCATACGAGTAAGGGGCAAGACTGCTTGTAGCAGTGAGCAACTGTCCTTTAAACAATGTAATACCTTATTAACAAATTCTAATTCATTGTTAACTATTTGTACAAATATAAAGTAGGAATTTTGAGTTTTGATGTAAACATTTTTTTATCACTTTTATTTTTGCCTTCATAGGATTTAAATTTTATCTTGACTACAACTTATTTTCATTGTAAATACTAGAGCATATCTTTCCAATATAACTACTCATATATATACAACAAAATTACTCTCTTACGAAAAAAAAATCTTAAATGAGCAAAGTCATGTTCATTAAAAAAAAAAATTCCATGTAAAATAAGTTTATATGAGAAACAATTTATTTTTAAATTACACACATATTAGGTGTGCCTTTTACCACTAGTCATTATACTATTCAAGAGCATTTGTATAGATAATTATTCCCATCTTTTATCCATAACTATATACAAAAAGCATATTGGATACTTTGAAAATAAGCAAGCAAAATGGTAATTTTCCCCTTTTGGCTAAATTATCATTCATGACAACCATAAGTGCATGTCTTTCTAAATATGGTTTCTTTTTTATGCAAGTGTTAATGTGAGTACAAAAAAGTCAAACTTAATCAAGTAGTTTGTGAGTTTACTAGGTCAAAACTTGAGTTCAAACTCGCATTAATTGCATTTGAGTAGTTAAAATTACTTGAAAGTCAAGTTTGAATTTAATATATGAAGTTCTAAAGTTCATTGAATTTAATTGAACTTAATCAAGTTTCACATATATATGTATTTTTAATTTTTTATTTATGAGTATAAAATGTTTATTTTGTCCTTTGTGTAAAATTATATAAAAATATAAATTTGTATTTCTTAAACTTGATTAAGTGCGAAACAAGTTCAATTGGGTGTAATAAGCACGAACTCGAGTTTGAATTCGAGTAATGTAAAATAAAATCAAACTTGAGCTTGAGTTGAATTTTTAAAAGCTTGATAAGTTCAAGTTCACGCTCAAGTTCAAATTTTTTAATTTGAGTTTGATTCGACTAAATTACACTTTTAAGTGTTAATGTAGTAGGTTATATCTTACACGTCTTAATTGGTAACATCATGCTTATGTCAACCACTTTATATATGAAAGAAATCCTTACAGGATCTGTGTTAGGGCCAAGGTATAATGTTATCTTCGAAATTGATTATTATCATTTTTTAGTGTGTAAATATACTAATAAATGCTAAATTGTGATGAGAATACCTAGCGCTCTTTGGATTTCTCAATTTTTGAAAAAAAAAATTTTCTTATACAATGCTACAGTAATATATATAAACAAAAATAAATTTAAAAACATTATATCCATATAATATATAAAAAATAACTCTAAATATACCAAAAAAAAAAACATCACTATCTATCACTCTCTACCACTACGATCACCACCTTATCGCCGCCACTCCATACCTATGACTCTCTCTCTCTCTCTCCCCGTCCATCTTTCCTCCTTTTGTCCTTCTCCTTTCTCTCATTCTCCTTTCTTATTTTTTCTTTCTCTTTTCCCGCCTCTCAATTTCTTTTTCCTTCACTAACTGTAACCTTCCTAGTAATGATCAAATTTGATTGTAACTAGAAGTCGCGATCAAAATAGTCGTGGTTAAAGTGGTGACTAAAGTCACAGTCACTACCTGCAAGCAAGAAAGGGGTTAGGGAGGAGAAGGGAGAGGAAAAAGAGAGAAGGGAGGAGGAGGAGGGGGAGGAAATAGAGGGAAAGAGGAGAGGAACAAAAAGAAGAGAAAGGAAGGAAAAGGAAGGGGGTAGTGGTGGGTCGTGTAAAATTATAAAAAAAATTCCAAAAAAATTATAAATTATAAATATACTCAAAAATATATTTTAAAAATATTTCTAAGAACAATTCAAAAAACATTTACACTAAAAGTTTTTCATATACACAGTTGTAGCAAAATTTTTAATAAATATTTTCAAAAACAACTAATCCAAACAGAGCCTAAATTTTTGCTTCTTGCCAACAGTAAAACTTCCTTAATGCTGGAAGTTTTGAACAGAGCCATTATTAGTAATTAGTAGTAGTATTATTTTTGGTGTTGTGATCTTTATTGTTATTAGAGCATCTAATTTTCATTCTTGAGACTCTAGAAAGGCACCACTAAAGGATTATCGATTTTCATACTTATGCGGAACATGAAATCCTGGATCTTGAATCTAACAATATATGCTTAACAATGTTGTTCATGAAACCTTTTAAATTCTTTAAGTATGACTAAAATTAGTGTAGCTCTCTATTATTATTTCAGTATTTTATTTATTTCTTTGTTTTCTAGTAATTTCCATGTTGTTGCTCAAACCGCGACGGTTGATTCAAGGCCCCAGAGCCGAACGCTGGGTTGGGCGCGAGTTATTGTCAATTTCAGGGTTTTTTTCGTTGTTTCCTTTCCTTGAATATTTTATTAGTTCCGTGCCCATAAATATGCTGTAGCTCATGGTACTATAATACTAGATAATTATGAGACTATTATCAATTTGTCAACTTTATTTCTTGGATGAGTTCAAATTTTTCTCTTTTTCCTTTGAAGCCTCTAACGGAAGAAGATCAGATGTGCTTTGCTTTTAAGTTGCTTTTGTATCATATATTGCTATTACTTGAAAATTAATATTTTAAAGATGCATATTAAGAAAAAAAAAAAAAAGCATTAGTTTTGAGAACAAAACCATCATGATATTGCATTAGTTTTGAGAACAAAGCCGTGACATTGTTCTAGAGAGAAATGCATATAAATATTAGACAACTCAGAAAATGAGATGAACAGAAAAGTGGTTGTTTAGAATTATTACAAGAACCAGGGTTATTTGGTTAACCTGGCTCAGTAAAGCAAAAATATCAGGCATGTCTAGCACTAATCAAATCCAGAAATG